CCTCCGGGGCAGGCAGGAATCGAACTCATGCGGAAGTGGCTTCAGATTCTCAGTGCTGTGCTTTAACCCGCTGCGCCACCAGGGAGGACCATAAGGTTTCCTTTTAAAAGAGGCAAAAGCAAGTATGCATTGATTGACCTAGTTGTATAATGGACAACTTCTCTATTGCTGAACTGTTTGACATTTATGAGAACTAGTTGTGTTAGTCCCCTCAGGGTAGTGCCCTTGCTGAGATGAAGGCTATTAAAATTGCAACTTACTGCAGTACTGTGCTTAACTGTCTTCTAGGTATATTTAATTTTTTTCCTCTGAGAGCCTAGTAAGTCAGTGACCCATGTAAGTTTTATTTGTGGCTCTATTTTAGAGCTGAGGCAACTGAACCAAAAAGATTGACTTGCTAGTGTCCGAGAGCTTTGGGAGGGAGTGGAGAAGGATGCCTGGTGTGTTGCTTCTTTCTGCATCCCTGACAGGCGCTCCCCAGACAACTGTGCTTTGTAGTTTATGAAGCTCTTCCAGATATTCGTATCTGGCTGGCTGTCCTTTGCAACTCCCAGGAAGTACATAAAGTGGTAGTTCTTATTTTACAGGTAGCATCCACATGTTTACATTTTTCCATTTTCTTCAGGCAAAATCCAAAGAAGAGAAACTAAAGAAGTGTGGTGAAGATGATGAAACCGTCCCGTTGGAGTACAGATTAAAAACAGTTACGGTATGTTTGAGTGTTGGTAGTCACAGTGCAAACTAACAACACACACCTCTTACTTTTGCAGGGTGTTTTGTTGAAACCCCTGAAATCTGTTCTCTGCTCTACTATTGCATCCCCTAAGGATGGTTTCCTAAATGGTGACTATGGTCCTTAAAATTTCCACAAATTCATGTACTTCAGTAAGAATTTTTTTTTGCTAACTGATAACTGGATAAAAGCACCATAGATCTTCTGAGTGGTGGATATAAATGTATAAATGTTTACCAGTGTCTTCTGTTACAGTGGATTTCTTGTTGGTTTTGATTTGAGATGAGGGTAATGATCTAATTCCTGTGACTATTATTGTAATTTATTGATACACATAAGCACATTGTGGAAAAATAGTTGTGATTCTTACATATGCTTTTCTATGGAAAGTTTCTCACTTTAGGGATATTTTAAATGGTGAAACCTCATATCCAAAATGAAATAGAACTATAGAAATGGTATATATCTCTTCCCTTTTGGGGTGAAGAATTGAGACTTATTTTTAAATCTTTCAATAATATAACTGTATCGTTCTTGCCAAGGAACTCTTCAAAAACTCCATTTCCCTGTCCAGTTGATGGAATTTTTCCTTGTTAACTTTTAAAGAAAAGTAAATGTATATTATAGTTGAAAACATTGTACTCAATTTTTACAGCTTAACTCTCCATTCTGATCACTTTATAAGATGTAAATCTGAAACACAAGTTCACTCATATATAAAAACAAAACACCTCTTCTCCTATCCTGAAACTCCCTAAAATAAACTTTATGGGGGAAAAAAAGCATGTCTTCTACTTTATTTTAAATGATTTCAATTTCATTTACAGGATAAAGATGGAAAACCACTATTGTCAGAACCTGAGGAGAAGTCTAAGGTTAGGTGGAAAATTTATTGATACTTAAAAGAAAAGTGTAAATTGTGATGATTTTGACAGATGATTTTACTGGGAGAAGTACATGTCAATGTGGATTTAGGATAGAAGAACTTCTGATAGCAACACTTAGCTCATACCTCTGATTTCATGTATTTGACTATCAGAAGCTTATTTTAAATGGTCCTTAAATTAAAGCACTTGATGTTTGATTCTCAGTCTGGCATCAACTACTTTCATGATTCTGTACTGCCTTAAGTTGGTTTCAACTAGCATAATTACCTACCATAATGCTATGCAACGACATTGACACTGGACACTTCTCTAGAAGCTTTTTTGTATGTTACCTTTTTTGAGTGTTCACTGAATCACTGAATGAGGAAAACCTTTACTATTCCCATTTTACAGATGAGGACAGTGAAGCACCGATGGGATAAATGTAAATAGCTCAAGGTTACAACTAGAAAAAAGCAAGATCAGAAATGAGAGCTCAGGCTGTCCATCTGAGATAGCATCTGAATCACTTGCCATTTGTTTATAGATTAATAACTATGATCAATCAGAATCTCTGTGTGCCCCAAACGAATGTCATTTTACCTGATGGAACTAGGAATAGCAGAACTTTACTGCCCAAATGCACAAAATCAGGAAAAGGAGTAGGTGGTCTGTTTTCTGACTTAAAGAAGTAGAACAAAAGATCATATAAGAAAGAAAATGTCTTACCCTCATTGGAAAGACCAGGAAATTTTATTTAAAGAAGAAACAAAAACCTCTTTTTATATTAACATGTCAGGAAGACTTGACTACATAAACTATTAATTTTTATTTTTTGGTATTTAGATATTAATTTTCCTTTGTTGCATGAACTTTATCTTACATTGATAAAACAAAAATATGCCTTGTATAAATTAATCTTGGGTTTTAGATCTTAAAATATGACCTAATATGTTAGTCAAAGAAAATAATCTATGAAAACTTTCTTTTCTTGACAAAGTATGATTTGTTACTTAATGATATGACTGTTCCTTTGTTTACAGCTCTTGAGTGAATCAGAACTCATTGATGAACTTTCAGAAGATTTTGATTCATCAAAACATAAAAAAAAGCAGCCTAAGCCAACTGAAAAAGCAAAAGTATGTTTTGAAAAATGTAGTTTTTTACTAACTTTAAAAAGTGAGCCCACAACTACTTTAGCAGGAAGCAGTTGACAGAAGGGCTCTTAGGCCACGTATTTTTCCATTCTGTTTTTGTTTTGCCTTTTCTGGATGTGCTTTCTTTTCTCAAGCTGAACCTGATATTCCTGCAACTTGACTCCTGTAATTATTCCTTTAGGAAAACACAGCCATGCCTTTTCTATTCCTGTTTCTGTAACTGACCTGGGTCGAGCCGTCCACACATCTCACCTCAGATGGCAATGCTTCTGTCCTTTGTCTCCTTCCGGTCCATTTTATGTCCCCCATCATTCTTCATTCTCAAGTTTGTTTACTGTCACATCGTTATTCTGCTCCAGCCCTCAGGAGCTTCTTGCTAAAGCCCTTGCTACTGTCTTCTGCCCTCATCTTCCTTTTCTACCAACATGTGCCCCGTGTCACTAAGCTGTGACAGTAAATGCACTCTGTTGCTTCTCTCATGTAGTCCTTCTGTCTGGAATAAACTTTTCTCCTAATTCTAGAGCCACTAAAATCTTAGTCACCCACTTAAGTCTGCTAAAATTTGACCTCCTTTACATCCTCCAATATTACCACCCTTCTAGTCCTTGCTGAGCAGAATATAGCCTGTCAAGGAGCTGCCACCCCTACCTAAGCACACTTGTTACAAACGGGGTTTGCACTGTGGTTCTTGTTCATCTCTAGCATTTTCCGTGGTATTAAGCAGATGGTACGTTTGTTGAGGAAGACATCATGCCCTAATTATGATCATTTCTGGAACAACTTGCAAAGTGAGATAAGATTCCATAAATGCCTAGATTAAAAGTAATTTGTTTGAAATTTTATTCTTATGACAAAACAAGATAGCACAGTAATATTCAGAAAGTACCATACATTAACATACCTGGAAGATTTGCTGGGCTTCCCCTTCAGAATTTTTGCTTTAGTCACTTGGAGTCAGAGTCCAGGAATTATGTCTTAACAAGCTCCTGGTAATGCTGAGATTGCTGGTTTAGGGACCACCCTTTGAGACTTCCTGGAGTCACCTTGCATTTGTATAGAGCCATTTACAAAGTGCTGTTAGATGTATAAAATGAGGTAGTTATATAAAATATATTTTGTAATGGGCATGTTATTGGCATGTATTCTGACAAGTAATGTAAATAGTACTGGTTGCCAGAATTTATTTTTGCTGTGTTCTCAGTTACTGTCAGAGCACTCACTGTTCTATCCCATTAACCCCCACATCAGTCCTTGAGATATAGGTGCTGTCATCTTACCAATGTGGAAACTGAGTTTCAGACAGATTAAATAACCCTCCTAAGATAAGAAGTAAAACCAAGTAGAAATAATAGTAGCAGAAGAGTTTTAAAGAGCCTTGAGTTACTTACTACTCAGCAACCCTTAGGTGCCTGAGGAAAATCATGCTCACGGCATATAATATAGCAGAGTATGTTATTGGTCCATTGTTTGGTCTTACTAACCAGATATTTCTAAAAGTTTTTCATCATACCTACTTCCTTCCACAGGCCACTGCCCCAACTCCTGTGGAAGAGGCTGTACCTCGGACCTCACTGTGTAGTGTACAGTCGGCACCCCCCAAGCCAGTGGTGACGGTGAGCCATCTCCTGGGTGGTGGGAAATGTCTTTGAGGGCAATGCACTTCCTGCTGTGCATTACGACCATATGTTTTATTCTGTCAAAAATAAAATCGTGTATAGATTTAGTATCTGTTCTTTAGGCTTCAAAGATAACGTTAGAAAATCAGGATAGATTTACAATTTCTGTTTTGCTTTAACCTTCTGGAATTCTCTCTAGTTCCTGAGCTACTGGGGATAACCATGCTTCTTCATCTCTAGCCTATTTGGAGTTTCACAAGTAGCCCATGTCAGTAAAAGGAGGATAGGTCAACTCAGTTCCTTTCTTTTGCTTATCTTCATTGCCTGTCTCTCTTTCTTCTATTTGGTGAAGTGTGATATTTAATACATTCAGTTTTTGTTTTCTTTTGAAATCAGTGGGTTTTGTTTGCATCAGCTACTAGAATCTTAGGGAATAATATCTGATGGAATTATGTTTCAACAGATGCAGTGGATCTGTGCTCTGAATAACTTAACTGTTCTAGATTCTTGGTGGTGTCTTCTCATTAGATGTTCTACTCTAAAGTCGTCTTTTTTTACATCATTCTTCATTTTGTGCATTTTTTAAATCTGTTGTAATCCCTGTAAATTTCCTTCCACCACTTCATCCATGTGCCATCACCATAGTCTTATGTGTTCTTTCCACACTGGTTTTGATCCCTTTCCCCTCTCCAACCCCATAAAATGTCTCTGATTTATAGTGGTTCATTGTTTTTCATTTTTACATTATTACAATTACTTCCCCCCCCCCCCGATCTCTTACACTGCTGCTATGTGTGGAACCATCTGGTATTTTTTTTCTTTTATGATTTATTTCACTAAGTATGATCCCTTCCAGCCTCATCCATGTTGCTGCAAAAGGCTCAAGTTTATCTTTTTGACTGCTGAGTAATATTCCATTGCATATATGTACCACATCTTCTCAATCCAGCCATCTACTTTTGGGCATTAGAGTTGATTCCATGTCTTTCCTATTGTAAATAGAGCAGCAATAAAGATGGGGGTGCAGGTGTCCTTTTGAATCAAAGTATTTGTCCTTTGGATAGATACCTAAGAGTGGGATTGCTGGGTCATGTGGAAGTTCCATTTTTAGCAGTTTGAGAAACCACCAAAGAGCTTTCCATAGTACCAGTTTGCATTCCCACCAGCAGTATAGGAAAGTTCCTTTTTCTCCACATCCTTGCCAACATTTGTTGTTGCTAGTTGTTTTAAGATGTGCCATTTCACTGGGCTGAGGTGGTATGTCATTGTGATTTTAATTTGCATCTCCCTCGTTACAAGTGATGTTGAACATTTTTTCATATGCCTGTTGGCCGTCTGCATTTCCTCTTTGGAGAAGTGTCTTTTTAGGTCTTCTGCCCATTTTTTGATGGGGTTGTTCATTTACTCCTAAAGCCTTTTCTAATCATCTCTATTATAGATGATGGAAGTGAAATTTTGAGCTGATCTTGAATGATTCTTTTGACCTTTCAGAGCTTCAGCTGATATCGGAGATCTGCCTCCTACACTCAGCTACTGTCAGGTTTAGTGTGGATATGACCAGATCTCAAGATTAGAGTACAACTTGATCATTCTCATATGTACTGAGCAATAAGAGCAGAGGGTGCATCGTTTCCCAGGGAGAACTAGGAGACTACTTCAGTTGGAGGCAGGATCACACTGAGGAGTGGAACTAGGACTGATTTCTGGCGACACCAGTGAGCCAAGGACAGGCCCGCAGAAAAATGAGAAGCCTCTGGTGTACTTGGGGTGTGTTAATGGGGTTGTTTGAGAAAGGAGCCCTCGAAGCAGTTATAGGCAGGTGTCTTGGAGGCCTCAAAGTGGCTGCTTCCTCCAGGGGAATCCCTTGCTGCCATATTCAGATCCCTTTCTGCCTTAACCAGGACTTCACCTTCTCCTTTTTTGAGACCTCAGTCATTATTTACACTGTGGGCATCAACATAGGTCAGCAGGTAAGGAAGAGAAGCTAGGAAAAGATGTGGAGAACAGAGTGGAATCAAAATAACAATAGCAGCATTCCAGGGCAGAATTCTTGTGGTCTAAATATGCTTCATTTACGTCTCCTGCCAGGTATGACTTCTGGGGCTTTAGAGGATTTAGTTTCTTTCCAACTTTACTCTGACAGTAGATTCAAGCAGTGGATTTTTAGTGGACAGCAAAAAAAAAAAAAAACTCTTGGCTTTTTATTCTCTGACCTCCTTTTCTGGGCCCCTTCTCCACAAGTCTGGTTGACACAGTTGTCTGGATTACCATCACTGAGGTTAGTTGGCATTTCTTGGGTTGTGACACTCTTGGAAGCCAGCAAGAGCCAGTGTGATAAAGGGCACAGGAGCCAAGAAAGGCTTGAGAGCTAGTAATAGCAAACAAAGAACGGAGGGAGAACATGTGTGAGTACAGTGTGTGATTCTTGATTATGTTTTTAAAAGTTTACTGAGGAAATCCAGAGATGTGGTTTCTGGATTTTTACAACAAATTCAGATTTGTTCTAAATTTAACTAAATAAAAGATTGAATCCTTAGCCCTATATCCTGAATCCTGGGTGTTTTCCTTTTTAAGATTGGTTTACATCACTCTATGTGTTCGGAGTTTATACTCACCTCTTCCACGTATATTACCACACTGTGACCACTGCCAAAACACCCTTAGTCCCCCACAGTCCATTGGGCCCCCACTCACCCCCTATGCTTCCCCCGTCCTGTCTGGTAGCCTCAGTACTGCAGTCAGATTTCAAATGTTTGTTGGGTTTCATTTTGTCTGTTTCTTTGCTTTGTTTCTTTATATTCCACATATGAATAAAATCAAATAGTGTTTTTTTCCCCTTTTGACCTATTTTGTTTAGCACTATCGCTTCCAGCTCACCTACGTCACAATGCACCTTTCATCTTTATTTGTTCACATGTACTGTTCCACCATGTGTATATACCACATCTTCGCTAGCCTGTCATCCCTCACTAAGCACCTAAGTTGTTACCATAAGTTGGCTATTATAAGTAGAGCTGCAGTGAATACAGGAATACATATCTTTTCAAATTTGTTTTTGATATTCTCTGGAAAGATACCTGAAAGAGGAGTTGCTGGATCATATATATGGTAAATCTGTTTTTAGTATTTTAGGAAATTTCTATACTGTTCTTCAAAACGGTTGCCCTAATTTACTCTCCCACCCACAGTGTAAGAGGGCTCCTTTTTCTCCACACCTTAGGCAACACTTGCTGTTTCTGGTCTTTTTTTTTTTTATCCTCACAGGAATAAGATGATAGCTCACTGTGGTTTGACTTGCACCTCCCTGATAATAAGTGAGGATGAGCATTTTTTCATGTTTTTGCTGGCCATCTGTACCTCTTCTCTGGAGAAATGTCTTTTGAGGTCTTCTGCCCAATTTTTGATTGGGTTATTTTCTTGGTGAATTGTATTAATTCTTTATAAGCTTTGGCTACCCATCTCATGTTAAATGTATGATGTGAAAACTTCTCCCTTGCAATAGAATGTATTTTCATTTTAATGATTTCTGTTGCTGTGCAAGAACATTTTAATTTGATACATTTCCTTTCATTTGATGTAATCCCTTTTATTTTTACTTTGTTTTCTTTGCCAGTGAAGTCAAATCTCCAAAGATATCACTGAAGCCAATAGCATGGAATAGTTTGCCTATACTATGTATTTTAATGGTATCAAGTCATACCACATGCAAGTCTTTAGTGTATTTTGAGTTAATTTTTGTGTGGGATGTGAGATGATGTTCTATTTTCATTCATTTGTGTGCAGCATATAATTTCCATGTTTATTGGGGAGACTGCTTTCTCTATGGTGTGCTCTTGGCTCCTGTGTCATATGTTAACTGCCCATAGAAGGTTGGGTTTTTCTGAACTCTCAATTCTATTTCATTGATCTGTGTGCCTAGTTTTATTCTAATATCATAGGTTTTTTTCTTACTGTAGCTTTTTAGGGTAGGAAAGACTAAGTATGATAGCACCATTTTCCCTCTTTTTGTCAGTGTTGTTCTTGGCTCTCTGGGCATCTTTGTAGATCCATACTGATTACATAACAATTGTTCTATTTACTTGAAGAATGCTGTAGCAATTTTGATAGGCATTGCACTGAATTTGTCTCTTACTTTGGGTTAGACAGTCATTTTTACAATGTTTATTCTTCAAATCCTTAAGTCCAAGGTGTTTTCCGATTAATTTATGTCCTCTATTTGTTTTAACAATGTCTTACATTTTGTTGTACACATTTTTCATCTCCCTTAAGTTTATCCTTAGGTACATTGTTGTGTGCTTTTTTTTTTTTTAATTCCAATTCTGATTCCATAGTTCTTAAGATTGCTGTTCTCCTAGGTTCCTAACTCTGTTACTCTTTCCTTTCAGCCAAAGGGCACAGGTTTGGGGAACAGTGGTTTCCAAAGGTTTTACAGCCAGACAGAAGGAGAAAACAAAGTGAGAGCAGGTTCCTGGGATCATTCAGCAGTTCAGATTGTTAGGGTAGGCTTGGGAAATGCACCAATGTCTTCACTTTAGATATAATACCAAGCAAGCAGTTTAGAGACATCAGGGAATTTTGTTGCTACCAAGAGTAAACTCTATGCCATGTCCAGCCACTAGATGGTGATAAATCACTTCCTGCTCAGTTTCCCTGTCCTCATTGTATCCTAGCACAGTATGGTGAGGCAGAAAACCACATTTCTGGCATGCTGGTCGAGTCGTATAATACAGACAATTTGACTCTAAAATTCCAATATATACTCAATGTGAGGTCACAGGCTTTTACCATAAGAATAAACTTTAAGACTTTTTAATTCAGGCGCTTTCTCCCTTTTGACAAACCAACAATAGGAAACTTAGTATCCATACATAGAAATAACAGTTCATATATGGCACTTAACACTTCTTATGTGTAATTCATTCTGTAGTCTGTTCTTTCATTTAAAAAGTTAGGCCTTGACCATGAACTACTAAATTGTTCGTGAGTGACTAAGTGATGGATGGTGATCGACGGTTTGGAAAAATTCAGATCTAGTTCTATCTTTTAGCCTAACCATAGCTTTTCCTTTACTTTCCTTTATGCTGTCATTTTGGACAGCCAGGCTACAGTCACTCACACAGGCCAATCAATCACAGGCAGCCTCCTGACTAGCAAAGCCAATTTGAGCAGTAGAAGCCTCAAGAAGAACCATTCTCAGGAGCTGCCGAATCTGCAGGGCAGAACAGACTGTTTCACAGTACACCAGGGAATATGTCCTCTTCAAGGCTTTTCTGAAAACCTTTACTGTGCCAGCTCCAGAACCATGCCCCTGCAGATCAACTCTTTATTTTTTCCTGGCTTTCAGCTTCTCTGGTTTATCTACTCCATTGCTTTTTTGATTTGAAACCAAAACACAGGGTTAGATCTACCTTGTAATTTTTCAGTGTGATCCTATAAGTTGCATATAGTTAACATTTCATATGAAAAACACTAATTTTTAATGTTTTCTAAACCATTTTTAAACATAGATTTCAACTGATAATTCAAATTATTAAATGATAATGTCTTTCTTATCTAGGCCTGAAGTAAGGCTATGCCCTTCTACAATGTTTGATACAGTTTCTTTTAAAAAGGAGTGATGAATCACCTACTTAATATGTCCACTGATGTGTTTTTAGAAGGGCATGGTGCCAGATGATGCTGTGGAAGCCTTGGCTGGTAGCCTGGGGAAGAGTGAAGCAGATCCAGATGATGGAAAGCCGATGAAAGATAAAATAAAGGTAAGGGCAGCTCAGAAACTTTTGGAAAGTAACTATCTTTGATTGCACTCTCAGGCCCAGTTCAGGTAGTCGCCTTCTTATATAGGCATTTTCCACAATATGAAACCAGCTGGCTTTCTCTTGTTAAGCCTCAGTGGGCACACATGCATAAACGCAGCAGTGAGTGATAGCAGGTTTATGTCTGAGTCTTAACCTTGTTCACCTGCTTCCCTTCCCACCTGCTGAGGACTCAGAAGTGGCAGCTGCCCCAAATCCCAAAACTGCCCAAGCCCAGCTGACTTCTGAGCCACTCAGCTGAACACACTGTGAAAGACCAAGTTGATAAAGGAAGGCCACACATACAGGCACATGTATGTTTTAACCTAGGGGTGATTTACTTGCACCAAATTTAGTTACTTGGACATGGGGAAAAGATGTATTACTAATGGAAATGGTATAATTTTTTTTTCCCCCAGGAAAAAGCCAAAGTAGAAGATCGTGAAAAGCTTGGAGAAAAAGAAGAAACAATTCCTCCTGATTATAGATTAGAAGAGATGAAGGTAACCAAGCTGTAATCTTTCTTTTTCTGTTACTTTAATTCATATTCTCTGAATTCCATGAACATAAAGAAGGGACAGAGATAGACCTGGTATGTAAAGATCTTGTTTCCTAATATTCTAAACATCAGATGGTATTATCCCACCAAAATACTGTTAGAACACTAGCTATGAAGCTAAAATATTCCTAAGTAGCTAGTCAGTCTTAAGGGAGAGAAATCTAATCTCTAATACCCCCCACCCCAACCAACCTAATATATGGTTTGTTACAGTGCCAGTAATTGAAAAAATTTATTTAGAAGACTTTTTATGACTAGGAAAACAAAACTGAGGGAAAATAACTTCTTTAAGGAACACTTTGCAATATCTAGATAAAAACAAGATGGTTTTTTCAACTTGAGTAAAGTTGACCCATATCCGTTATTTTTAACACAGAAAAACAATACAGGGAGACCTGCTACGAACCTTGTAGGCTACATGCAGTCACTGGAGTGAGCTGATATGTGGACAGTGGAACAATGTCAGTCATCTTCGTAGCATGTTACTACCTAAGAAAATATTTGACCAAACTGCACTAACCTTTCAGGAAAATCAAGTTCATATTGTCCTTACCCAGCCATATGCACTAGTCCATTTATTTGGCAAAGACAGAAACTATACTGAGCTCTTCCTAAGTATAATTCTGGAGATCTTTACTCTGCTTCCTTTCTGCATCATCATACAGTTGAAACCATGGCATCTCTGTTAATTTGGGCTTGTTTATATGCTGCTCTGCAGTGCTAGAGAGCTGCTTAGGAGGCCGTGTTCTGTAACTACTGACACCCTCCACCCTGCCCCACCCCCACATGGTAAAGGCTGATCAGCTGCAGTTAACTTCATAAGAGGAGGGCAGCTGCTTTCTCCCCACTTGTCCTGAAGTTGAGCAGCAGTTTTTAACAAAGCAGTTGATTAGCTTTTCTTGACTGCTTTATTCTGTAGTATCTTTAGCAGCCTCTGAACTTGTTGACCTCACAGGTTATTACCAATTGCTTTATAACATTTGCAGATACAGCTTAATCTCTTGTTAAAATCCTGTATTGTTATGCATCAGGTATGCTGGTATCAGGCCTCTGCAGTGAGATCCAGCTTTCTGATGCTAGACTGCAAATTTCCCTTCCAGAAAAGATAGGAGCCTGTTTTGACTTGGGGTGTGGAGCAGAAGTTTCCACCGGTCCCGTGTGTCACAGGGAAATTTACTGCCTTTGCAGCTAAGAGGTGGTAGAGAAAAAAGTCCACGTTCTTCAGAACCCTCAGAAGAAATGGAGAAGGGACTAAAGTTGATGTGAGTCTAGAAAGGGCCAGGAGATACTATAAACCATCACACCTCCTTGCATTTTAAATAATTGAACACCTTAATCAGTTTCTTGGGAAAATTATACTGATAGCCATGGAATTATTTTTATGTTCATAAATTGGCTTCACAATGTATAAATCCTATTTTTACTATTTACTAAAGTCTCAAATGCTTTTCTGACTTTCGTCCTAACACTGAGAAGTGGCACATAGAACCATTTGAAGCTTGGTGACCTCTGGGCCACAAGCTTCCCAGGAGCTGCCTAGAGTGGACTCCTTGAGGGCAGGGACTTTTGTGAGTCTTAGCTGCTGTGGTTTTCCCAAGGCTTTGTATCAGCGTGATGTGGAATCAAGGCACAATGTTCAGGTGCATGGTTGATAGGCTAGTTAGCTTTTCCAGGCATATTTGAAATTTTAGCTAAGTGGATCCTGCTCATCCCTGTACCCCAATGTCTGCCTATAGCACCATATGGCACACACAGAACTATTGGCATGCTGATCTCCTGCACTAGTTGGTGGGCTTCTGAGTGAAGTCACAAGCCATGTGGAATCCATCTTGCCATCCCTGAGCTTGGGGAATGTCTGCTAAATTTGAGCTGTTTGTTGACATGAGCTAATTAGAGCATATTCTCCTGTGAGAGAATCTGCTTCCTGAAATGATGAATCTAATTTATAATGTACAACAACATCACCTATAATCTGTCAACCCCTTAAAAGAGGTTCACCCTTAAGGTCAATGGGATATAATTCAATGTAATGTTTTTCTTCCACGGATAGGATAAAGATGGAAAACCACTCCAGCCCCCAAAGCCCGAAGAAGTGCTTCCAGTAAGTACTGTTTCTCTGAATCTGTCTTCTCATTGGGCTCTCCCTGTTAATTCAGGGAGGGTGGGGCTTTCTACTTAATTTGCTGATCAGCATGTAAACACTGATATGTTGAAGTTGAGGTTGTTCTTGTTGATACGTTTCTTGGTTCTTGCAGCCCATGAATGACGACCTCCTCCTCGATGCTTTGTCTAAAGACTTCACCAGCCCTACACAAATGTCACCTCTTGTAAGTTAGAAGTACCTGGTTTTCTTTTCTTAATTTCAGAGTGGCAGAAATAAATGGAAATTTAGAATCTCAGAGCCTGACTCAGGAACTGAGGAAACAGTTATAACCATTAAAAATGTACTGCTTTATGAAATACTGTTTTTAATAAAGTTTCTAGTGCTGCAACTGATTGATCTAATGAGCATGTCCTTTATCAAGTCCATCTGTGAAAAGAGAACATTGAGTTTATCCCAATTACTTCAGATAGCTTTACCAGTAGATAAGTATATATTTATCTTGTTCAAAATATATTTCAAATTTTATATACATATTTTAAATAAACAAATGTTTATATGTTAAACATATACATAAACAAATGTTTATATGTTAAAGAAATAAACAAATGTTTATATGTTAAAGTATATTTAATTTCAGCAAATAATATTAATAGCTAGAGCTATTTTCCTTCAAATCAGAAAATATAAAAAGTTGATTGTATTGACATTTCTGCTTGATGATGTGTGGAGCAATAATTAACAACCATGGAAAAGAAATGACAGTCTAGTTGTAGATAATACATTTGTAGATAATATTATATATGCTATTTATATTAATAAATTAGGAGATATAACTCTAATATGACATGTAAGACCTATGTAAAGAAACTTGCGATAGAAGGAATGAACAGAAAAATAAAAGCACAAAGAAATTAAAATATATCTTAAGTTTTATTAAATGTCTTATAAGAATGATAATTCTCTCCAACCCTTTTATTTTACTTACTAAAATTGCAAGAAGGTATGGATAACTCAATAAAATTCTCCTAAAATATATTTGAAATACTAATGCGTAAAGTACAAAAATAATACTGAAAAGCATTTCAAAAGAAAAAAGGCTTTTCAGTATTTTAGGGGGAAGACAGACTAGCCAAATAAGACACCAAGGTTTATTTTACAATAATGGTAAAAACAACTAACTGATTCAGAAAGCAAAGCCATAGGGAGGAGGGAGGAGTGAGGGGAATCAAGATGTGAACACAAATGATAAATTTGCACATTTTTATAGAGACAAGAATTTCTAGCAACTTTTGAGAGGGCCATTTGGCAGAATATAGCTAATACTATAATAAAGCAGTTCAGGAACTTAGAGCAACTAATTATATAAAAGCTGAAAACTACAAACAATTGAAGGTACAATAAGAAATGTATAAACAAAGCTTGGATCTCTTAAGTCATTAGATTAATGTACTGTCCACCTCTTGGAACTAGAGACTAAATAATTGTAAATCTGTATTTCAAGTTGTATTAAGAAATGTTGTTTATATATAACAAATCATAAAAAACTCATTTGTTTTTGAAAAAGGAAGTTAAAAATATTGATGTCTCTGCTGTCTCTGAAGTGCTTTCCAAAACTCCAGCTCCCACCACGCACTCTGCAGGAGCGCCCCGGGTAAGCAATATCTTGTATTTGTAACAGCAACAATAGCAGAAAATTAGGGTACCTGCTTAGTTGAAGTGAAAATGAACCAAATTGTTAGGAAGATCAGACACCTTCTTTTTTAAGAGAGTCGTGATTAGTGATTTAAGGAGATGATAGAGAATATCCAAAATGATTAAATGAAAAAATGTGGAAATATTTTCACCACAGTTGTTTATTAGAATTGAAAATACAGTGCAAATGAATATATTTGCATTATAATAGCTGGAAAAAATTTAGCCTTCCTGATTTTCTTCTTTATATTTTTCCTGACACATCTGTAAGTAATACCCATTATTTAATCTCAAGTTTATTTTATGAAATTCCCCAGTGTTTGAGCTTCACCCTCTAGAATTCACAAACCTACTTTGGAATAGTTATTATTTTTGTCTCATTCATACAATAAAAATTTGTTATTTTCATACTAGCAGTAGAAAAAAAACACTAGCATCAATATTGTTTTAGTTATTCACATGTTCTGAGGCAGGATTTTAGGATCAAAGCTTTTCCAGATTTCCTTGATTAATCTTCTGTGCATTATGCACAGAATTATACATTATCGAGGAGACCAAAAGATAAAGAGATTGCCCTAAACCACATAACCAGTCTTACTTGGGTTGAAAAAAAAATGCTTCATTGCTAGATGGAGATAAAGTAGCTTTGGTGAAGTCCACTCTGCTTCCTTTCCTTTTGATGTAGCATCAAAGCTGATTTAGTGCTGTACTCTTGAGATCCTAAATGAATTTTTAACCTACTGGGTCAGCCTGAGGATCCTCTGAAAATATCCAGAGGCACAAATGACAAAACCCAGGCCGGAAAATGGGTAGCTGCACCATTAGCAGCTATAATCCTGAGTGCTAATGAAGCACTTAAAATGAGTAAAATGCGTGTGTGTGTGTGCACCCCTACAATGGTGGCATTCCTGTGCAACAGAAAGGAGACAGCATTCATAACTCAGGCTGAAGTTTGACTTAAACAAGGATGTTGAAATATTAAAAGAATTTATTTTTTTGCAATATAAGATTTCTCCCCTGAAGAATGGTCACCATAGTTCTCCCACCACCAGAGTGCCCACAGTCCTTCTCCACTCCACGTGGCACTCCTCGTGTTCTCGGCTCTCCCCCTCCTGGGTGTTTCAGATCTATGGTTTGTTTTCAAGGGTCAATCTTATAGTTCATCTTTGTCTGGTCCTTTGTTTGGTTCCTCTAGAGTCCACATGTAAGTGAATCACCCAGTATTTATCTTCCTCCTGCTCTTAGATTAGTCCATCCCAGTTCCACTTATGTTGCCACAAATGGCATGAGTTTATCTGTTTTTTCTTTTTACCACAGAGTAGTATTCCATTGTATATATATACCACATCTTCTTGATCATCATCTATTTTGGTGCATTTAAGTTGTTATCATATCTTGGCTACTGTAAATTGTGCTGCAGTAAACATAGGAGTGCAGGTTTCCTTTCGAATTCGTGTTTTTATGTTCATTGGACAGATACCTAGCAGTGGAATTGCTGGGCTATACCTCATTCAATTCTTAACCTTGATCAGATGTTCTGCTCTGAAACTCTTAAGACATGAACAGTTTGCCTCTCACAAGTATGTTTTAGTATGATGCCTTTCCCCCATCGCTTTCCTTTATGGTTTTAGTTAATATTTTATTTGAAGCTGTCACTAAAACCTAGAATTAAAACTTTATTTCAGTGAATACATTTGAGGATCAAAGAATGAACTAATAAGCAAATCAATTCATCCCCATTTCATAGTGGTGGTGTAGACACTGAAAGTATCTTAAGACTCATTTTCTAACCAATGAGGTCAGGAACTCCACCTTTCTAGGAGGGCCTGTTTTCCTAGAAGATGAAACCATGTGGTGGGGTTGGAGGTATGGGGTTGACAGCACAGCGCTGGGTGTGGGAAAGTCCTGGACAAGACTACAGGCGGTGGTGCGTTCCATGCACCCTGCCCAGCTCCCTAGTGAAAACCCCATAAGCTATGGAAGTCTTAGTGTTATGCTCACACTCCAAAAAGTGCTGTCATTGGACAGACCAGTAATTAATTTAAGTTTACATTTTAGCCAAGTAACAGCAAAGCTCTCGACGATGCCTTGGATCAACTTTCTGACAGCCTAGGCCAAAGGCAGCCTGATCCAGATGACAACAAACCAATGGAGGATAAGGTCAAGGTAAAATACAACAAAAAGACTGATGTTCTTGTAGCAGTCCTTCCTCAAAAATAAGGAGAAGCTCTTTGGAGTTAGTAAATACTTGGTTAACTTAATTCTTTTTTCTTCTTTCCTACGCTGCAGTCTGTTGTATTTTATCTCCTCAGTGAGATTAAATACTGAATCTTGTACAGATTCAGCAAAGGTCCTGTTTGTGAAGCCAGATTTTGTTATGGTGCAAGAACATAGCTCTGCTTTGTTAACTTCCATTTCCCATGTTATCTTTTTTTGGATTTATTTGATATTAAAGACATCAGATGTATGAAAAACACATGCCTCTTTTAGGCTCAATAGTAGTGGCCAAGGTCACCTAATTGGAACAAGTCTTCCCAGTAGCCTTATCTGCTATCATAATCAAATCTGTGTACAAACTACTAAATGAAAGAGCACTGGACCAGGAGTTCAACACCATGCAGAGGTGTGTCTGCAAACTGTTGACACACCACATTTAATATAACATGTGTAAGTATTTACTCAGACTTAACAATGTACTTAAGAATCTGTTTAGCTTGGAACCAGAAAGTAACCAGCCACATTCATATCCAGAAGACAGGACATTTCAAAGAATCCTTAATATTGACCCTATCATGTTCTTAGGTTAAGATCACATCAATATTCCTGTGTTTGAAAAATAGAATTCTAATGATGCTGAACAATCAAATCTGTCACTAGATTTATGCCCCACGGAGGCTGAGGTGTGTGGAGATAGGCACTGATCATTTGACAGTCCGTTCATCCCTCACAGGTGGTTTGAGGATAAACATTTAGTCATCTATTTCAATTTAAGATATAGGTAGAAACGTCACTAATGTGGATTAACAGAGAAGCTCATGGACTTAAACTGTTTTCATCACTGTGTCCACTGCAGTCATTTCATCTATCTGTGGCTTATAAAAACAGGTTATCTATGTATTGCTTCAGAATAGTTTGATAAATGAAAAATGCTGCATCTTAAAATGTATTCTCCAAAAGAAGGAAGAAATGAATAGTAATTATGCTTGTTTGATGTTTATAGGAAAGAACTAAAGCTGAACATAGAGACAAGCTGGGAGAGAGAGATGACACTATCCCCCCTGAATACAGACACCTCTTGGATAATGATGATGAGGTAACTGATGCACATGTCGGGATTGGACTAATATACAAAGCTTTTGAAAGATAGACCTCACTTGAACATGATAGAAGGTGCATTTTAACAATTACATAAAAATGTAATGTGATAAATGTTTTAGTATCTCCAAAGAGCAGGCTGTTAAGAATTCTGTTTAATATTTGTGCCAATATCATGTTGTTTGCCACACTGGACACTGGTGTAAATAGTCCAATAATATTCAGCCAGTCATGTTTCAGGTGTGCACGCCAATTCTCCTTGCTGGGGGGTGGGGGAAGGAGGGGGCTGGTAAAATGATTTATGTAATCCTGCAAGCAGAAAGAGGGAACTAGTATTAAAATTAATAGGGGCAAGTAGATGTGGCAACTCCAGAACGTAAGGTCTCCATTTCTAACATCCATCTCTTAACTTCAGCACACTTGAGTGAAGACAAGCAAAACCATATTTCCAATCACAAGGTCTATCTCCTTATGCAAATATATGCTGGAGTAGTCCGCGGCCTTCTGTCTCTGATAGGGAAACCAAGGCTAGGTCAATCTGGCCTAAACCCCACCCCTTCCTACCTGACTCCTGTTGCAAATCAATTAGATGAAAAATAATCCTTTCTAGGCCTACTTATCAAGTAATAAGAAAGCCCAAATTACATATTCTTTTTCTCTACTGATTTATTGGTAGCTTTGATGACTCGCTGGTCTAAAGAGCTTCCTTGATCTCTATTATAGGAATTACTTGTTTTGTTCAGTATTCCTCAAATAGCAATTCTGCATCCTGCTAAAATCATCCTTGCCTTGATAGCACTACCAACCCCTTCTGTATTCTTATTCTTTGGGAAATATTTTTTAATGCCCTTTAGACAAGAACATAATCCCTTCTGTAAATCCTTTGCACCTGGAGTCTTTCCATATAGTTAGACTGAGAAACAAGGTACGTTGTGTTCATGTATGTTTCCTTCTAGGACCAGATTTTCTTGCATTTCCCCTAGACTTTTGAAATAGTTTGTAGTGAGTCCCAAATTGTTAAGTTTATAAATTCCAACAAAACTTAAGTGTTTACTCAGTAGTCTGCCTTGTTTTTACAGAACAAACCAGTGAAGCCACCTACAAAGAAACCCCAGGCATCAAAGGTAAATACTGTAACGCAGCTAAATTTTTTAATGGAAACATTCTAACTTTATTTTGTATTTTAAAAAAATTCAAATTTCATTGAATGCCCACCCTGCACATGGTAATGCTAGGTATGTGTGTATAGTGGTGTATTGTTTCTCTCATTTAGTCCTCACAAGTTAGTAGGCAGTTCCATTTTAAAGTTGGGAACTCAAGGCTCAGAATAGCAGGAAACTTGTGTAAAAGAGAAGACAAAAGAGCTGTGAGGATTTTCATATTTAACTCTTATATTAAGGGGGGAAAAAAATCTGCAAGTTCTTAGACACAGACACACACACGTCCCATTTAAAGCGATGTGGGAAAATGTCTCAGCATTTCTGACTCTTCACTGAGGGTAGTTTCTGTTAATCTTAGAAATCTGAAGATAACCAAGATGCCATAGACAGTCTTTCGGGAGATTTTGACAGCTGTCCAACTACAGAATCCTCAGAGCAAACAGCAAAGGTATTGTGTTTTTTCACATTGACTTTGAATGTGCATATGCATTGACAAAACATTACTGTGCCCTAAAGATGAAAACAGAAAAAATAATTCCACTTCCTCCACAAACTTTAGTCTGGTCCTTTTTTTGTTACATAGATGTACTTAATTCATATAGTATGTTGACATTATCTCATAAACATTCTCCACGTTGCTTTATCTCCACACTACTGTACCTGTACCACATCAATGCTGTCTCAGCTCCTTTAAAATGAAAACAGACGGGGCCCTGTGCTCTCTGCTCTTTCGGCAGTCCCGCAGGGCCTGTTGTTCAAGCATCATCTCCTGCATCAAAACCTCTTTTATGACCTCTCCCTTCCCAGGCTACTTTCAGGTCTCTCCCACACATCCTGCCCTCAGGTAACCTGTGTATCCCACCACTCTGCTATGCACTTTCATACAGCAGCCCTGTGTGTGCTCCCTCTGCCCAGCGTTAGCAATAGGAGGTGCTCAACATGTGATTAAAAGTGAAAGTGTTTCATTGACTAAGTGTATGGCATTTGTAAACCATGTACTCTTTGAAAATCACTTAGGAGAATGAGTGTGCTTTAGAAGAATTAACGCTGCAAATCTATTTGCTATTGTTTTGGCTTATGAAGTGTTTTCGCTTCTTTGATTTGGGGTTTTTCTTTTTGGTTGTTTTATTTTTTCCTTCTTGGAAATTTGTAAATAGTGCCCTCTTGGTTAACAGGCTTCATTTTTCTATGTGATCTGCCTTCTGTGGTGGTTTCTGTTCTATTTCTCTGCCTTAGCACTTAAAACAGTGCTAGTCTTGTTCTCTGGGCACAGAGAACACTTCTGATACTTATGTTTAAATGAACAACATAAGGATCTGTGTAAATCAGGAGTGTGACCCATGTATTTCTCCTACCTTAAACATTACAACATACATTTACTACTGTTCAAAAGTCATGACTAAAACAACGATGGATTAATATCAATATCCTCAATTCCTTTGCTTTAGGAGAAAGATAAGAAGAACGTTTCCAGTTCCAGAGTTCCCAAGAATGGGGGTAAAGCAAAGAACTCGGCAAAGGTAAACAGCAGTATATATACCACAAACTAATTTAGCAATTACATATAACTGTTTCATTTAGTTTTGATTAGGAAATGTTATTTTAAGTAGACTCCAAAGCACATCTTGCTAAAGAAATTATCTTTAAGTAATGGATACTTTAGAAAACTAAACTTCGGTATACATTTCCAAGTTGAGAATGCCACATAAAATGATAGAATGGACACTTCATAATTTTTACAAATGTGTTCAAGTTCTTCTACTACTTTAAAGGAGTCCTCAGGTTTATAATCCTTTTATGCAGTTTCCTTCTACCCCTTTACCTCCTTTAAAAATCTAAAATTCCCTACTGCACATTCCTATTTGGATAATACAGTAGAGTTTCATATACTGTAGTTCACCTCTAAACTGCCACTTTTCCATTAAGAAAAAAAGTAAACAATTTGATAAGCTATTCATAAGAGCCATAGCAAACATACTAAAATCAGGGATGTGTGTGACAAAACTAGCAAACGTGATATAAATAAATTTTAGAACATGGTAGTATAGAATCAGGAGAGATTTTAGTTGTGTGATCTAATATAATATCCCTCCATCGGAAAGCAGCGCACTTCCTGTGAAACCTTTTGTAAGCTGAGATGGCAAAAGGTAAGGAAGCAATTACCATTAACTTGGAACACTTTTTGAGCCTTCCCAGGTTCCAAAAATAACCTTCTAAATAAGGTATAAAACCTAAAATAACACTCAGATAGTAAAAGCAGGAATTGCATGATCCGTACACAGCGCGTATAACCTGGCTCAGGCTGGCGCTCCAGCCGTGGGCTCAGCATGCAACACTACCTCCGATGGCTGCTCCAGAACAGCTGAAATGCTGCTTTCTCTTCTTGCCTTTTGTAATAAGTGAAAACCCTCTTCAGGTCTCTTTTGGTTACCAAGAACAGGTACTAATGTAGTTCTCTCATGAAGTAAAGAGGTAGAAAGGGATCTTTGAAAAAATTGGGTGTTATCCAGTAGACACTTGGGAGGGAAGATTGTTTAATACAGTATATTTCCTATTGTTCTAGAAGGTTGAACTGAGTATAAGTTGGGTGTTATTGAAGCATAACAGTTGGGAATTTCCTATGAAAATTACTCAATGTGGTTAGGAATGGAAGTTCAATGAGACAGCTTCTAGGTTCCTTCCAGTTCCACTAATCTATGAGCCATAGTTATTACTACGATCCCCTGAATACAATGAAAAAAGGTGAAGCTTTAGAAACATTATACCTAATCAAAACCCAAATTAGAAGTTTCAAGATGAGTTCACCCTGTCACGCAGACACACTGAGTCAATATAGAGCAATTTCCTCTAAAAAGATGTAGCAACAATCTCCCCCTAAACATTACTCCCAGCTCAGCAACCCAGATAGTAGGAGACGCCATACCTGGAGCTTCTTCCTGATAACTGAAGGATTTGAACCGACATTGAGCACCCCAAATTGAGATCAAACCTATTAAATTTTACAAATTATTTTTAGAAGGAATGTACCTTGACATGATAAAGGCCATCTGTGATATAACATCTTACTCATTGGTGAAAAGCTGAAAGTTTTTCATCTAGGATCAGGATGAGACATGGATGCCACTACAGTTTTAGTCATCATAGTGTTAGACATCATAGTCAGAGCAATTATTGTTGAATAATTCTAATGTATACTTGCCAAAGCAATCTCTGAAGTCCATGTAGTTCCAGTGAAGGTAAAGTGATGGAAGGCAGCAGGACATAAAAGGCTTACAAACTTTAGGATTCCTTTAAAGTAGTAGAAGAACTTGAACACACTTGTAAAATTATAATGTACCAGTGGCATTTGATAAACTATTGGATTGTCATGATGCATTTTTGCTTTAAAAATAGAATGTCATGATGCCAAAACAACCTGGAAAAAGAACAAAGATGGACATATCACCTCCCCTGACTTAACTATTTTATAAAGCTAAGCTATAATAATCAAAACCGCTTGGTATTGGCATAAAAAGATACAGATCAATGGAATAGAATTAAGTCCAAAATAAGCCTATTCCTATTTTGTTAAGAGAGAGCCAAGCATATAAGGAGAAATGACAGTGTCCTTGATAAATGCAGCATGCAGATGAATGAAAGTGTACCCTATCTTGCACTATATAGAAAAACATTGAGTTTAAACATTTGACCTGGAAAAAAAAAATTCCTAAAATAAAACTTTGGTATTATGCACCTTAACATTGTTCTTGGCAAGGATTTGCTGGATCTGACTTGTTTTTGTTGCCTTTACTTTTAAAAACAAATGGGACTAAATTAGATTTTAAGTACAATTCTGCACAACAGAATATACCAAATGGAAGAGAATATTTGCAAACTACGAGTTATATCCAGAGTTCATAAAGAATTCAACTTAAACAATATAATTTAAAAATGGACAATATGAATTATCTTTTTCCAAAGATAATACAGATGGCCAAGGGGTACATGAAAAAATGCTTACCGTCCCTAATCAGGAAAATATGTAAATCAAAACCATCTTGACATGTCACCTCACTTTTAAGAAAGCCTATAATAAAGAGTAGTTGTTGAGCATGTGGAGAAACCCTTGTGTACCATTGGTAGCAATGTGAATTGGTGCAGGCTCCTAAAAATTAAACTATGATATGACCCATTAATTCCACTTTGGGGTATTTATTCAAAGAAAAAATTGAAAAGATATGTACCACCTAGTCTTGCAACATTATTTAAAATGTCATAAAAAGAAATCAACCATTTGCAACATGACAATTTTATGGATATGCTTCCAGGGCATTGTGCAAAGTGAAGTAAGTCAGACAGAATTCCCATATGATCACATTGATATGTGGACTCTAAAAGCAGAACAAAAAAAAACCTACCTGATGTATTGGTGGTTGTCAAAGGCAGCAGTCGGGTATGTGAGGAATGAGAAGGGTACAAATTTCCAGTTATAAAATTACCTACTTGAAAGTTGTAAGATGTGCTTAGCAAGTTCTCATAAGAAAAAAAAATTGTGACCATGAATAGCAACAGATATTGAACTGTGGTAATCATTTTTCATAATAAACAATTAGCAAATCATTGCTGTATACCAGAAAGTAAAATAATGGTACATCTCAACTATAGTGCCATAAATATAAGAAAATGGATTAATAATTTCTATGCCATTATATCAGATAGATTCAATAATTGAATTTAAGATATATAAGCTTACCAATGTTCTTTGATAATTAGTTAGCCGGTAATGCCAGTACAGAATGCAGAAGAGAGCTAATTAATGATTTTGTGTACCTCTATAGGTAAAGGAAGAAACTTCCAGGGCAAAAGCTGATGAAAAAAATACAAGCTAAATTTCACACTACTTGGTAAGTTAGATGTACGTTGTAAATGAAGACTTCCTACTAGCCTGTATTTACTTGTGAGAAAGCAAGTCCACCTAAATATTTGGTTTTTTTTTTTTTTGCAATGTGCATTTTATATCAATAGTTTTTTTATAAGTATATTTAAAGACATTAATCAAATTTTATAATTAAGGAGCTCTTTACTTTTGACACCCAAGTACTTGTGACTGCTTACGGACCTGGTAGAAAATATATGGTGTATCGAACAAAAGACAAAAAGAGTGTAGGTTCTCCCCATCATCAGGAAGTAGCACATTCCTGTGACACTTTTCAGAAGCCAAACTAGCATGAAATAAAGAAGCAGTTGCCATTAGCTTATATGGAAAATGAGTGTAACCCACCCAGTCATGCCAGATAACACATAAAACTTGAAACACAGAAAGCAAGAATGAAGTGATACATACACAGCCTGTCTGAAGTAGGTCTGGAGAATCTAGACAAGGGGCTTGCTGATCCCACTCATGGGGTGTGCGCTGGTTCTAAATCAGCTGCTGCAAAACAAACTGGATCTGTTAAGTTTTTTGCCTTTTGTCTTATAAGCAAAATTCTATTTTCTTTCCATTAACACATGTAGACCTTCACAAAAGTGAAATGGCATTAACACAAACTTCCAAAAAGCAGAAAATGTTTAACTTTACCTTTTGATGACTGAAGCATTCATGTGCGTCTGGAAATTGTAGAGCTCTATGATTAGGCCTGACTTTTATCCAGCTTATAACCACTTGGCTGACCAAAGCCTAACACATCAAAATGCAGGTTAAATTGGGTAACCACTTTTACTATAAAAGTGAAGGTATGTTGATTAGAACTGCTGAAAGATTTCCTTCCAAATAAATGCTATTAATAATCTATTCATACTTAATACTTTATCAGATGGCTTACTAGATTTTCTTAATTTTTCAAGGTATCTGCATATAAAATCTTCAGCTGGTGAATGGTGGCTTTTGAAGAACAGAAAGAACAAGAGATCATTTTTCTGGGTGGCTTCTAGACAGTGGTGTTTGTTGAAACTTCTGACATCCTAAACATTGGTTTGTTCATTCTATTCCAGAAAAGAAATTGAATTTGTCTGGTTCACCTATGATGTCCTGAGTATTGATAAACTTTGAATTTTTTAAAATTGCCTTCAGTTGAGAGAAAGGAACTTTATATTTCTAAGATATATTTGCTAAAGTTTCTTACAGCAACACCAAAAAAACCTTTGCAAGTTTTTGCACATCCTATATACACAGTGCCTGTAAATCTGAGTTATTTTCAGTTTGCACTTTTTTTGTTAGCATTCATTTGGAAAACAGCACTCTAAATACTTTCGTGTTCTGATTTCTTATTAGCCCTGCCCTTGGGCATTTGAACGCTTTGAGTTAATGTTCATAAGTCAAAAAAACATTGTACATTGAGCGCATATCTTCTCTTAGGCTGCTAATAATAAATTAATAACCTGGACAGACCAGGAAGCACTGTATCCCTTTTCAGTGTGAACTCTTCTTTGCCACGAGTTAGGATTTCTGTACCTTATAATCAGAAATCCTGAGACTTGAATCAAGTCAGCAGAAGACTGTTCCTGAATAGCAAGTTCCGAGAAGAAATAAAACAATGACCTTCACATGGCTTGATCTCAGTTTGCTGTGCTTTTTTGAGGATTTGCTGAGAGATGCTTCCACACTGACCTTGCACTGCACAGCACCCAGCTGGCTTACCTAGTACAAAGCAAATTGCTCCTTCAAGACAATACATATGCAATTTTAAATGTTTTCCCTTCCCCCACAGCAATTTAAAAACTCGATTCTAATATCCTAATTTTGAATGGTTTATGAATACAGTACTGCTACTGTAGATAGCATTTAATATTTAATTTCATCTTTATTTCCTGCTAGTGAATGCAGAAAGATCGGTAATATAAAACTGATTTGGAATTTATTTCAGAGAGTACAGCCTTTCTTAGCTGACTGACTGCAATACTGTCTAATGGGGAAGAATAAAGGTTACACTGATAGGCAAATTTTGTTAGCATTTAAAGTGGGAGAAGTTTGAAATTCTTTAAATATGTGCTGATTTTAGAAAATTCTAGAAGCTATCTCTATGCCATTGGAGATAGTTACTCAGCTCTAAATCTAGTAACTATAAGCCATTGTTCTGGTAACCAAACAGACCTTTTCAGAGTATTAGAGAAATAAAAATGCCTTATCTATCTAGAATGTCCATTTGGGTAGTATAAAGTGTTTTATATTATTGCATCATACAAGTATTTTTAAGTACTTACCAAAATCCAGTATTTTAACTAGTGCCTGTAAAAAGTAAACAGTTAAAGGTCTCCAAATATTTTAGTAGAAATGTTTCTGGTAATTAATGGCTTGAGTAAACTAGAGATCTAAATTAGTTATATCAGCTTAATTAGGAGGAAATAATTACAAACATCTACTTAAAGGTAAACAAAATTTATTACCAAAAGGGTTTCTGTACATTGTTGTGACAATATTGTGTCTTAGAAAATGGACTTTCCAAAAGCAAATGCAGGTAGGCCCCTCTGGTTATCAAGTGAAAAAGCATTAATCAAAGTGTAAAATATAAATAAAAACATTTTACATGAATCTTGGCTTTGTACAATTTTAAGAAGGAAAATGCCCAGGCATAATCAATTTGTTTTTTATTTCTCAAGCCATTAAACCCTGCAATATGTATTAAAATTGGAAGCATTTCTGTCCATTGTACAATGTATTGGAACTCACTGACCTTTTCCCATTTTGCAACATTCAAAACATTAAGACAATTCAAAAACAACATATTGTCCTTGCTACAATATAAACAAACCTTTTTAGTTTCATACTATACTACCCCTTATTATAACTCAATTTATTGGTAAAAGTAAGCAATCAGTTACTTGAAAATTATGAATGAGAACAAATATGGTGCAGGGAAAATAAACTTCACCTACCTAAGACTTTCAAGTTCAACATCATATGAAAGGTTTCTCTAGAACTGAAAGTACTCTGCCTTTTTTAGGAGAACACTTCAGAGTCTGTCCCTGAGAAAACATGACCACTCAATTAGGATCATCTGAGGAAAGTTCCAGATGGATATTTTACAAACGTATGAGCAGGATCTATGGAAACCACATGTACACACAGGACTAGTTAGAGCCAGGTTCCCACTTCTCCCTAAGGTACGAAAGAAGGAATTATTTACTAGAACCCAGAGATGGAGAAGGCTGTGTGGCCTGTCATGGGGGTGCCAGTGTAGGCAACAGGCCAGGGAGCAAGAAAAAAAGACAGCCCCATCTACTCCCTTCTCAGTTCTGATTTCCCCCTGCAGGGTGCAAAGATGAACAAGAAGTCTGCACAGGCCTGTTCTGCCTTAGTTACCGATGCAGGTACTCATTGCTCTCGTTAGCTTTCCAAGGAAAGGGAGGAAACATCTTATGAAAAACAAACTTGTAGGAAACCTGTAGGGTTTAGTCATGACATGTTACATGAGAATAGGTACAGCTGGTCCCTACTCACTTCATTCAATGTCATTTTGTTATAACATTCCTGGGGAAGGGAGGGGATCATTTCCCCATGTAGGCCTCTGAGTGGAATTTGCACACCTTCACCCTACTTCTGAGTGGGTGTTCTCTGGGTGCTCGTTTCTTCACACTTTATGTGGGATATGCATTTGATGTTCATTTTTGTATCTAATGTGTCCTAGTCGGAGTGTGGTTTGGCTGTGAGTGTGCCCTGTGACTGGCGGGTATCCTGGCTGTGTGCTTCCCATCAAGCACTCTGAGCCGCCAGGTGATTCCAACCTGAGTTGGAATCAACAGGCTGGAAAATGAACTTTACAAATTACTGCTTAATATTAGGAGTGCTCGGGTATTTGGAATTATGGTGATGTTTTTGTGATTACAAATTATGCTATAGAAACTTAACTCCTGTTATTCACCAATTAGCCTAGGTAAAGTGGTTCTAATTATTTCTCTTGAAGGTACAGTTTAAGAACTTACAATGATGTTAAGTGAGGACTTTTTGGGTCTTAGTCCCCTGTAGTGTGGGAAGGTACCATTTGAGTTTAGGTTGTGTAGGTTGTGGAACAACTGCTATGAATAAAAACACATGGTAGCAATAACCCACTGGGGAGGGGGGGGGAAGAGCAGTCAGCTTTTCTTCAAGATATGGTCACAGAGTGAAATGGTAGAACAAATTCTACCATTTGTTACCATTTAGTGGACACCAAGAGTCATCTCTAGATTGAAAATATTCCACATTTGACATACTTTTAGTGATTACAGATCACAGGACTCACGGCAATCAGCAGTTATAGCAATTCGGGCTTTCTGTTTTGCAGCCACACTCTAATTTTTTCGAAATTCTTATCCATCCAACGTATGTTTTCCTCAATGGTTTCAATTGTTTGCTGGACACAACGGAGCTGAGAACCATTTTCTTTCAAAGAGCTGAAGAATCCTTTTACCTTGTGAGAAAAAATTTGAGTTTTTAAAGTTTAACATTAAGCACATGTAACTTCAGTCTAGTTCAAAGAAAAACTGAAGCCAGAAATTCTACCATTTGTTAAAATTCTGTATAGAAGGCAGCTTGGGCATCTGGAGATGATTATATACACATAAACGTAAGCTATAGGAACTGAGCTTATGGCTCACGATGTCAAGTTTTGTGATTTTTCACTGCAGCTCTTATTTATTCACAGTTGCCAGATTCCAAAAGACTGCACTGTTTACCATCTTATAATTAAGGTTTAATTGAGCATATCTATTTAATGTGTACTCGGTTATATATACACACACAGATGCAAACTTAATTTTTTAAAACACGATAGCTAAAAAAGCAGACTGAGCAGAGTGTCATAGTTGCCAAGCAAAATAGTTTCACCCACTAAGTGCTGTCTTTCTCCATGGCCCTGCCCTTGCATGTTAACTAGAGAAACACTGTGGAAAGCAGGTTCTTAGCAAATTGTGGTGGCAATACACCAAACCTTGCCAGATTTTTTATATCCTAATCCAGTTTGGTTTTTTTCCCCTCTCATGATAAAACCCATGCAAAGTTCCTGAAGCTTTAAAAAGCTCAGAGACTCTTGGCTATCTCCTCATAAATAGCTAGTCACAATTTCATCCCTGGTATGTTCATCCCTTTAAACACACACGAGAAACAGGCTGGCATTAACCATTGTGTAATTACTTTACCTTGTACGGTTTTTAACCCTTTCTCAAGTTTTCACAACCTTAATCCATCAGTTTTTGTATTTTGTAGACAGGAAGCTAGTGTAGGCCAAGATGTACTATTTATTATGCACAGACTTCAGATAATTCCTTAAAAATCCAAGCCATAGTATCATAGGTTTCGGAATAAGAGGAAATTTTGAAAGATCAAATTCCAATTTTAAATTATGCAAAGTTGTTTTACAATTATCTCATTCCATTTTCTCAGTGAGCGGAAGGCATAACCACCTGCCGTATCAACCTGGGAAACTCTTCGCTGTTCTGCCTCTAGTTGTAGCTCAACCCATTGTTCCATACTCCCCTAACTCAAATTAACTGATAATTCAAAATTGTACTTGTCACTCAACAATCCAGCCGTATCATTTATTTTACTAATTAACCAAATTGTTTAAAGGAGCCTATCATGCAGTCAACAAACTTGGGAGAGCTGTGACTAAAGCAGCTGCTAACCCCTTGCCCTTAGTCTTCTCTTGGCCCCAAGCCCCCTATCTTCATCCATGTTGGGAAATGTAGCATTTTAATGGAGTTTTTGCTGGAAGGCCTCCTTAAAAACAATTTTCTCTGAAATAAGCTGGGTGATATAGTGAGGGAAAAACAGGTTTATCTTACTGATATGTTTGACCTTGAACAAGTGGTTTAACTTCTGGGTCTCGGGTGAGGATGATCCTCATACTTTAGAGTGTGGTGAGGATACCACTACATAATGTGGCTAACGTACAAAGCCATGTGTTTAGCACACTTCAGCAACTCAGCCCTATCATCTGTGCATGGGTTATTTACACTGATACTTACTCATCCCTCTGCCTTAATTATTGTGCTAACAATTGTTGAGACAGTGGAACAGTAAGCCCTACCCTACCGTCATGGAGCTTGCAGTCAACTGGGGAGATAAGCAGTAAACCATGATGACTGCTAATCTGCTGTGAAGAAAAGAAACTGGGACCATGATAATAAGTGGGGCAGGGAAGCCTGTTGTAGACAGAATGGGCTGGGGAGTACATCTCAGCTAGGTTTGCTACAGGTTGAAATGAGCCTTTGCAGTGAGAAGTAGGGAAGAGTAAGCCCAATAGAAGAAAAAGTACCGGGGTGTAGAGCTAGAGAAACACCTGTGTTCAGATGCTAACTGGCTAGTATGTGAAGAATGAACTAGAACTTGGGTGAGAATTGTCTGGAGAGATGGGCAGGGCAGGAGTTAGGTCATTCCAGTTTTGTGAAAAGAGGAAAGAAAGGCTGGGAATTTATTTCAAGACGGATAGGGTTTCAAAAAGGAACCACTTATGAACCAAATTTCAGGTTTAAATGTGGAAAACAGTCTAGTGTTTGCAAAGTGGCAGAAAGGGACCAGTAAGTCAGCCATCACCATAAAGACTAGGCCAAGAGATAAGAAAAGCTTGGGTGGGCAAGGATGGAGAAATGCATAGACGCAGGCATATGAGGGAGACAGAGCCAAGAGGACTCTGGATCAACTGGCTGTGAGGAAGGAAAGGTTCAGCATGGTCCAACGGAATTCCTATCAATAGGATGCTGTCCATTCTGACAATATCTCAGACTGATTTTCTTGTCCTATGCTCTAGGGCTTTGGCACTCTAAACACAACATCTCCTCCTAGACACCTAAGCAGTCCTGATGTGCTCAATGTCTCCTAACGATCCCATAGAACACAGCAGCACTCTTTACTCAATCACTGTCTCTTTTGCCTTACACCTGAGCATGACACTACTTGACAGGTTGACTTGTCTCTACTTGTTTGATTCCCCTACAGAATTTAAGCTCTGTGAGGGACTGCGTCTATTCTGTTCTTCGTACCCCCAGAACATAGAACTATAACATAAGAGATGGAACATGTCTAGAATACACTAATGCAAAAACATAAAATGTTTCTCATCTACTGGCAGCCGTCTTACCTGGTCACAGCCAATGAAAATAACCAGATATCCTTCTGTTATAGAACACCTCCCCGGAGTTCGTGCTTGAGTTTTTATGTGTAACTAGTTTTACAAGCCTGTGTAAGACTACTGAAAACTAGTGAGAAACTAAGGGATATGACAACTTCCCATTCTATTTGCAGTTTCCAGTGCTCTCCCTATCAAGCCAGATCGTAGTGTAACCAGATAACACAATGGAACTAGTCCTGAAAAACTAAACATTGGAATTCTCATTTTTCATCTAAGTACACCATACTCTAAAAGGCATGTGAAATTCTACAATTGTACTATAAGAACCATTGTTATAAAAGGAACACCACAAAACAACAGCTTCTACACATCAAAGTGCTAAAAATTGGCTTTGATGGGACGCTGTAAGTTTCATGGTTCCCTCTTACCACACAATACTATAACTCATACTGTTTTCCTATTTTCCCTTGACTGTTAGGAAGTTCTGTATTAAATTTAGTTTAACACCAATAATTATCCTCAGCTGATGTCCCTCATAGTTACCTTTCCATTATGTGACTTTTGTTAACATTTCTTTTGTATATGGTCTTTATAAGTTACCTCAAGTTCTTTCTGAAGGAGATAAATAACAGGCTATCATAATATCCATTCAATAATGGAGGTTGCAAACCTGCCTTTCACAACAGCTAGTTATTAGTTCAGTTATCTGTACTTCTAATGCTCACTTGTAATATCCTAAAATAGGAACTAAAGGCTGAAAATTTTAAAACCTTAACATTTTTAATAGCAGGAATAGTACTTCACATGTTTGGAAAGCAGCAGTTTTCTCAACTTCAGCTACAACATTTTTGCTTATATGTCAAACACACCTTAAAATCCAAACAGAATGCCTACTAGGGGACAGAATCCACTTCTAACTCATTACCCCCCTTCAAGTATTTTGTCTTACTCATTTTTATAACTTAGCATCACTTAAGTTAATAAAAGTTTACCTCTTCAAGTCGTGCCCTTGTGGAGAATTGATTAGTTGTTCCCATTACCATGTGGCTTATGGAAGGTGAGCCAAGATCAAACCTAGGTGAGGAAGATGCCAAAATGCATTGTGAATAAACACTGGACATGTTATCTCTAAGAGCCTCATATATAGTAACAGTTAAGAGCTGGTTAGACATGATCCCTACTCTCCAGTGGGTTGAGATCTAATGGCAAAAAGTAACACAAATCAACAGCCGAATCAAACATGAAGTGCCCTATAGAAAATGGTGAAGGTGGTCGCTGCTATAGGAGTCAGTCAGGGCAGACTCCAGCATGGCAAGGAGGAAGCTGCGAGAGCTCAGTGCCCTAGTTTCTATCTCCACTCAAAAACCCCTTTAGTAAATATCATTTTACAAACAACAGAGCTGAAAACCTAGCCAAGCTAAGAACTTTTCCAGTCATAGCGCAATTTTTTGCCACTACTTACTTTTGTACAAGTTTATTCCAATTTTCTCTCAGAAACTTCCAGGCCAGGGGATATCCTACTGGGTTTCTGCCAATAGTTGCAAGAATATGTGGAAACTCCTGAGTTTTTATTACATCTCCCTTAAAACTTTGATCTAGTAGCCTAAAATGATTAAGAAGAAATGTCAGCTGAATAGGCCATACAAGCTATGGCCTATTTCAATAATTTGTGAAAGTCAGTTTGCCAATAATAGAGACAAAAAAAAGGAAAAATAGGTAAAGACATGATAAACACTTTACAGATACATAAAAGTATCTATGTGATATGTGCCACACCCATTCCCACATAGTCTCTCATTTGCTTATAAAAGGCATCCCTAGTATACATTTCTAAATAGGGTTATTGTAACAACAAATACATACTCTTATAATTTTTTTCTGGCACCTTTCCCCTAACTTAGGACACACATTAAATGTGTGCCCACTTACATGACTATTCCCAGTACAACAGGCAATTCCTGGTTAGGAGAACAGACCAATACAGAGGCTTTGATCTAATGGTCACGAGAACATGAATGAGTCACTCACCACTGAAGCCTTTCTTTATCTTGGCTGGTACAGAGGGCAAATTCAATCTCGTTTTTCTCAGTACTAGACAAGGATGATTGATATTTATTATACAGAAATTCCCAGCCTTCAGGGTCCTGGGCCCCCACCGCAAACACTGCCATGGTGATGTCGTTGGGCAGGCTGTGGAAAGAAACAGCCTTGAGTGTGAGAGGCAGGGATGCACCTACAGGTGTTATGGTGATGAGTTACCAACTGATGAGCTGCCCCATGACCAAGCAGCATGCCTGGAAATGTCAACAAAATAACCTCTTTCCTTCAGTAATATGAAAGGGACAAGAGGAAGTACTAAAATTAACTCTTCAGTAGCTCAAAAGGTTACTGTGAAATGCCACTTTTAGGAATGCCTACATAATTTTCCCTTTTGATGCTGAGCTACTAATAGGTAGTGACTTTTCAAACCAACAGAAAGAAATGTGGGCCCTCCCTGGTGGCAGAACGGGTTAAAGTAGCACTGTGAAGCTATCCGCAACCACTGTAGCATGTCACGAGTTCGATCCCCCACCAGGGAGGTGATCCACATGGTGCGGCAGATCACTGCTGGCCCACTTGCTGTTCCCCTCAGCAGTGTTTCAGCACATCTGCCTGTCTCTAATGAGTCCTCTCACCCCCCACACCTCTGGCCTGAGCCCCAGTTCTTGTGTGCATAAATAAATAAATCTTTTTAAAAAATGCAAATCAAACTTAAGGGGAAGTTCTTGGCCAGCAACATGGAATCCAACAAGACCACCATGGGTGGCCATGAGTGTCTATTGTTGGGGTGGGATTTAAACGCCAAGTAGCAAAGAACTGAAAAATGGCAAAAATAACTTTGCAGCTAGAGGGAGAGCTGTCCTGCTTAGACAAGCTACTCTACGACCACACAGCAGGATTCTGCAGAAGCTACAACTATGATATGCTTCAGCTCTGCTTCCATCCTTCATGGCTGTTTCTGTTCTGATCTGTATATTTCTGTCTATAAAGAAAAATGAGGAATACACCTAATCCCATTCTAATTCTCAGATATTTGACTTTTGTGCACAGAAATTCCCTCCCAGCAGCCCTCATAGGTGTCTCAGTAAGAAAGGCATGTATAAATCTTAAAAAAGCAATATATTTTCCCAGAAATGGCAGTGGGGGGACTTTTCCACATTTGTTTCTTCTCCCAACTTTTAGCAGAAAAGATAACCTTTACATGGTAAAATTAGTTGTCAATTAAAAACAGACCTCAGATTTCCATTGGCTTCCTTCCACTTTCTGAAATAGCCTCCTGCCCTCTGCACACAGGGCTGGTACTTGCGCAAGCAGGCAAGGAGCAGTAGCTGGCCCCGCAGCATTCTCTCCGAGACAGAGCCCTCATCTGTCCAAGTCTGCTTGTCGATGAGGTCCTGCAGCAGGCTGATGAGGAAGGCCTGAAAGAAAGCCACTTGTCACCAGTTTGTCCCAGGCCAGCTCATCCATATTCCATTACCCCCTCAGGTGACAGATTAAGCTTTAGAAAATATTAAACTCTTAATTGAACCACCATGTAATTATACTTGTATTTAATTATAAATAGGGCCCAAGCTAAAACAATGAGACAATGATTTTATTTTTGATGAACTTCCACGTTTTAACAAAATGTTTATAGGACATTTTAAAGCAAACTATACAATAAGACTTCAGGATATTTTGCCAAAACTAAAAATTGATGGCCTCTTATTCAAGTACCAGGGACTTGGAAAATCTTAATAGCAACCATCATAATGGAGAAGATAAAATAAAGGATTTGTAAAAAGAGAATCCATGAAAATTAAGTAGAGACTAACATAGCTACGCCCTTCATGGCACAGTGAAACCAAAATCTTCACTAATAATCCAAATACTGAGTTCCTATCTTACTTTCTTTTATAGTTCTACCAATACACATACACATCTTATACACACACACACACACACACACCCCATAAACTATTTTCTACACCCACCCAAAAGCAAACCACAGTTACATCACTACTGTTACCTTGAATTGAGTTTCCACTTCATTCATATCTCTTTTCTCCATTAACTTGTACATGGGTATCAGCTCATTTAACCCTTGGAACACCGGCATGATTTCAGTTTCACGTTTCAAGTACAGGGCTAAATCCAGGGCTTTTTCAATGGATAGCTTTCCAATGCTGGTGAGAAATTCCATGTTTAGCAATTGAAAAGAAAATCCATAAATATTAGTACTTTGCTTTTAAAAGCTATTATAATAATCTCCTAGCAGGTTCTCCCTAATGGCTCAATGGGTTAAAGCACCGCATTATGAAATTGCAAAGCCACTGCAACACAAGTTTGATCCCAGCTCAGGAAGCTGACCCACATGGCATGGCAGACCTCTCCTGACCCACCCACTGCTCCCCACAGCAGTGTACTTTGTCAGTCTGCTTGTTCTGCTCCTCACTCTGTCTCTGGTGAATCCTCTCACCCACCACACCTCTGGCCTGTACCCTGGTTCTGTAAACATAAGTAAATCTCTTAAAAAAAAATAATAATCTCCTAGCAAAAAAAAAAATAATCTCCTCTTGTAAATAGCAACTGTTAATACAGTGTAAAACATCTGGCATGTTTTACACTGTGGAGAAGTTTCCCATAGCAGAACTAGGGCTCATTTGTAGTTAAGACAAAATGGAATCATGCCGGCATCTGCCCTTTAATGAAACACTGGCTTGTGTGAACTTCCAGAATATGGGAGTTTTGATCAGAATCCTGCAACATCTGCCATTCAATCAACAGTGTGAGTCCCTAAACTCAACACGTCCTTGGCTCCTTTTAAAAATGAAACCGAAGGTCCTTGCTGGTGGCTCAGCAGGTTAAAGCACAGCACTAAGAAGCTAAAACCACTTCAGCATGAGTTCGATCCTGGCATGGGAGGTGACCCATATGGCACTACAGACCTCTCCTGACCTGCCCGCTGCTCCCCTCAGCAGTGTACTTCATCAGTCAGCATGTTCTGCTCCCCACTCTGTCTCACCACCCCTGCACCTCTGACCTGTACCCCAGTTCTGTATGCATAAATAAATAAATCTTAAAAAAAAAAGGAACTGAAAAAATGTCTAGCCATTATTGAAGGTTAGTGTTAAAATCCTCCGTGTTGGTATATACACCTATATAAGAAAATGCAAAGCATGCTAAAATTTAAGTAACATAAGGAGAGGAATATTTGTTCATGAGGTGAAATAGCTAGCTGCATCCTCCATTGCTTTTGTCCCCTTGGTAGGTCCAGAGTTGCCCACTAAAGAGCCAGAAGGAACAATTCGCCATTTAGAACAAAGGAACATGGGAGATGTGGAGAACGATACAGTAATTTTTCCCCACCTGCATTACTCCCCTTATAACTTTAATTCTGCCTGAAAAATGAAGAATTTTTGTTTTGAGGATTATTTCCTTAAAAACCATTATCATGGAGCAAACAATTAGATGATGTTCACTCTATCAACTACACAAAGATTATTTGACTGGGCCATAT